GTGGCTTCTCTCTCTACCTGAATCCACCAAACAGCGGGGAAACAGCACCTCCGCAAAATTCACAAAGTCAATAAAAATCCTTGGTTACACCTTTCATCTGAAGGACCCTGGGGTTCCTCCTTCCCCACCTCTCTCAGACTCACTCTTCCTACAGAGTCCTTGGCCATACCTGGGATATAAATGGCGCTACCATTGCACCAATGCGACACAGGGAGCCGCTGGTTCCCATCCCCAAAGCACGCATCGTGGTGGGGTAGACCTGCAGGGAGAGGCATAGAAAGCACCAGTCAGTTTCTGTCTGTCTGTCTGTCTGTCTGTCCTTCCCCGAGCCCTCCTCTTCCCCCCTCCATCCCCAGGCCAGGCTTTGGAATACACAGAATGCCAAACACAGTTACAAAACATAAAACAGAAGGTGTTCACTTTCTCACGCACACAACTTTCAATTTTTGGGATAATATCAGCAAAAAATAAACACTTCAAAATTATCCTTTAAATGAGCAAATTCCAAAGCCGGGTGAGGTGGCTCATGCCTGTAATCCCAGCACTTTGGGAGGCCAAGGCGGCACATCATCTGAGGTCGGTAGTTTGAGACCAGCCTAACCAACATGAAAGAAATCCGTCTGTACTAAACATACAAAATTACCCAGGCACGGGCATGCATGCCTGTAATCCCAGCCACTCGGGAGGCTGAGGCAGGAGAATCGCTTGAACCCGGGAGGTGGAGGTTGCAGTGAGCCGATATCATTGCACTCCAGCCTGGGCAGCAAGAGTGAAACTTACTCTCAAAAAATAAAATAAAATAAAAAATAAAAATGAGCAAATTCCAAAAATGTGTTTCACTGAATATTCCAAATATAATTTTAGAAAGACTTCAGAACTATAAATATACAAAAGTGATTCTCCTGAAAGGAAAGAAAATGCTCCCCAGAGATCTAATGAAGTCTTCAAACACAGCTAAGAGAATTGATTAGAAGGCTCAGCACTCGCCACACCATTCCCTGTGTTCTTATTTTTATTTATTTTCTTTTTTTAAATAGAGATGGGATCTTGCCATGTTGGCCGGGCTGGTCTTGAGTGTCTGGCCTCAAACAAACCTCCTACCTCAACCACGCAAAGTGCTGGGATTAGAGGCATGAGCCACCACATCTGGTCCCTGTGTTTTTGTTAAATTCCCTAGCCTCTTTGCTGTCGCAGAATCTGATAGCAGATTCTACTTTCTTTATTTTTAACATTTTTATTTATTTATTTAGAGATGGAGTCTCACTGTCGCCCAGGCTGGAGTACAACGGTGCGATCTTGGCTCACTGCAACATCTGCCTTCTGGGTTCAAGTGATTCACCTGCCTCAGCCTCCCAGGTAGCTGGGATTATAGGTGTGCACCACCACACCCAGCTAATTTTTGTATTTTTAGTTGGGGGGGGCTGTCTCACATGTTGGCCAGTTTGGTCTCGAACTCCTGACCTCAGGTAATCCACCCTCCTTGGCCTCCCAAAGGGCTGGGATTACAGGTGTGAGCCACCACACCCAGCCCTTTTTAACATTTTATTAAATTTTTATTTATTTATTTTTTTTTTGAGACGGAGTTTCGCTCATTACCCAGGCTGGAGTGCAATGGCGAGATCTCGGCTCACCGCAACCTCCGCCTCCTGGGTTCAGGCAATTCTCCTGCCTCAGCCTCCTGAGTATCTGGGATTACAGGCACACCCCACCGTGCCCAGCTAATTTTTTGTAATTTTTAGTAGAGACGGGGTTTCACCATGTTGACCAGGATGGTCTCGATCTGTTGACCTCGTGATCCGCCCGCCTCAGCCTCCCTTAGTGCTGGGATTACAGGCTTGAGCCACTGCGCCCGGCCTTATTTTTATTTTAATAGAGATGAGGTCTCACTATGTTGCCCAGGCTGGTATCAAACTTCCAAGCTCAAGCAACCTTCCTGCCTCAGCCTCCCAAAGTGCGGGGATTACAGGCCTGAGCTACCACACCCAGCCATATTCTACTTTCTTGCTGCAACTTTTCTATTTTTATAGTAAAACCTAATAATTCTTCATTCTTAATTGGTTCTTCATTGATTCAGAATTCTTAAAGAACGAGAACTTTAATAAGTCAGCAAGTATTATTGAATACATAGGGTTCTATGAAGAATACTTTCTAGGAAAGAACTGTTTCTCGAAATGTTGGAACATTTTCTTAGTGCTATAAAATACTGATAAAACTGTTTCATCAACTCTCTAAGGCAAAGCATGTAGCATCCTTTAGTTGGCCACATCTTTGCCACCATCTGTCAAATGCAAAAAGCAAGATGCTTTCCCGCCTCACAGGACACAGCTATATTTACAGGAGAAGGCCTGGGGGTGGAATATCTTTATGGAAGCTTTATTATTTTCTGAAAAATGAGGTTGCTATGACTGATGAATTCACGTGATGGTTTCTTTGCTATAATACTGATAAAGTCCTTTGTTCACATTTTGAGTCATCTGGAAGACAGAATAACAGAAAACTATCATTTTTAGTTACACTTCTGATTTTTTTTTAATCAATATAGGCCGGGCGCAGAGGCTCATGACTGTAATCCCAGCACTAAGGCAGGTCTAGGTGGGTGGGTCACGAGGTCAGGAGATCGAGACCATCCTGGCCAACATGGTCAAACCCCGTCACTACTAAACATATTAATATTAGCTGGGCACAGTGGTACATGTCTGTAGTCCTAGTTACTTAGGAGGCTGAGGCAGGAGAATCACTTGAACTGGGATGTGGAGGTTGCAGTGAGCCAAGGTCGTGCCACTGCACTCCAGCCAGGGTGACAGAGCAAGACTCCATTTCAAAAACACAAAAAAGAAATCAATATAAAAAATAAAATACTTAGAAATGACCCTCAAAACGAGCAAATTCCCAAAATAAATGTTTGACGGTACATTCCAAATGCAATTCTAGAAGTATGCCATGTTACACATAGGCTTTTTGGTTCATAAAATTACAAAATAACTTTAAACTTTAGATTTGTTTTATTATGCAATTTTTTAACTACGCAAAATTATTTAAAGTCAGTAATTTTTTTTTTTTTGAGACAGTTTCTCTGTCACCAGGCTGGATGCAGTGGTACAATTTCAACTCACTGCAACCTTAGCCTCCCAGGTTCAAGGGATTCTCCTGCCTCAGCCTCTCAAGTAACTGGGATTACAGGTGCCTACCACCATGCCCGGCTAACTTTTTGTATTTTTAGCAGAGATGAATTTTCATCATATTGGCCAGGCTGGTCTCAAACTCCTGACCTCAAGTGATCTGCCTGTCTCGGCCTCCCAAAGTGCTGGGATTACAGGCATGAGCCACCACACCCAGTCAATTTTTATTCAAGGAATTTCATATTGTAATTCCTTCCAAGGTTCAAAGTCACCTTGGTTACCCTACAGAGCGGGAATAAAATTTATCATCAAATGAATTATCTTCAAGTTAGCCCTTCTTAATAGAACTGATGTTTAGGCCGGGCGCGGTGGCTCACGCCTGTAATCCCAGCACTTAGGGAGGCCGGGGTGGGTGGATCACGAGATCAAGAGATCGAGACCGTCCTGGTCAACATGGTGAAACCCCGTCTCTACTAAAAATACAAAAAATTAGCTGGGCATGGTGGCGCGTGCCTGTAATCCCAGCTACTCAGGAGGCTGAGGCAGAAGAATTGCCTGAACCCAGGAGGCGGAGGCTGCAGTGAGTCGAGATCGCGCCATTGCACTCCAGCCTGGGTAACAAGAGCGAAACTCCGTCTCAAAAAAAAAAAAAAAAAAAAGAACTGATGTTTAATGCAGTTGTCCTCATAGCCCATAATTCTTTTATTTTGGCTTCTTTAGTCTCCTTTTAATATGGATATAGTGATGAAGACTTCAAAATTCACCAAGAATCTTTGGGATCTAACTTCTTCAACCAACTTACTTTAGGGTCATTTTTGGAGTTGGTGGATCTGCCTCTTTCTCTGTTTGATGCCCTCTGTAAACATGAGTGAGTGAGTTCAAGTCCTATTCATCCCTAAGCTATCACAGTCAAGAACAGTACGGACCCGCGGAATATGTCAGCACCTTAAACCCCAGATATCATGTGCTCAAGATAAAAGCCATTAAAACAAAAAGTCATCCTGATATATCAAGCCAACATCAAACTGGAATACAAAATTGATATAGACGAGATTCTCCTCATACCTTATGCTTTTAAATTCTCTATTCTACAGTCCAAAAATCAATTTATTTTTTTCCTCACTCTGTCGCCAGGCTGGAGTGCAGTGGTATGATTTGCACTCCTGGGTTCAAATAATTCTCCTGCCTCAGTCTCCCAAGTAGCTGGGTAAGGAGAAATTCATATCAAATAAACTTCGGGTGTCTTTTTAACAGACTCTTTAGAAAATCATCAAAAGTCAACAGAAACCAGGGATGCATTACCTTTGGATGGACACCCGAAGGGGCTCATCTTACACACCCTGTTGGAAGGTATTCCTCAGTCTTCCAAGTAGCTATTTTTTTTGTATTTTAGTAGAGACGGGGTTTCACCATGTTGGCCAGGATGGTCTTGAACTCCTGACCTCGTGATCAGCCTGCCTTGGCCTCCTAGAGTGCGGGGATTACAGGCATAAGCCATGATGCTGGGCCCTTTTTTTTTTTTTTTTTTTTTTTTTAAATTTAGAGACAGGGTCTTTGCTGCCCAGGCTGGAGTACAGTAGCACCATCAGAACTCACCACAGCCTCCAACTCCTGGGCTCAAGCAATCCTCCCGCCTCAGCCTCCCCTTCCTAAGTAGTTACAACTACAGGTGCATGCACCTATCTCTGGCTAATTTTTAAATTTTGTGGAGATGGGGTCTTGCTTTCTTGGCCAGGCTGGTCTTGAACTCCTAGCTTCCAGTGATTCTCCCATCTCAGCCTCCCACAAGTTAGGGATCGCAGGCATGAGCCACTGCACCTAGACTGGAATCACCCGATGGTTATCAATACTCCGATCACGTTTAAGTGTCTCAGGTATCACAATACCCCTTTCTTATTTGTAGCAAAACTTACACTGAACAATGAGTTCTGGATTGCAAAAGAGGATTTATTTTTTGCACCTGTCTATAAGTCAACTTTAGATTTTGTTAATGGAACTAAAAGTATTATGTATAATTCAAATATCACCTCGTTTTCTATTTTTATCTCTGTGTGGGAAAAAAAGTACTTTTCTCTGCGGGTTTAATGGTTTCTGACATCCTGAATCTTCCATCACAATAGACTTCCCCATTTCCTGCCATGAACACGAGGGCAGCTTTATCAGTATCTAAAGCACTATTTCCTGTAGCTCAATGAATGACAAAACTAGTGAAAATACTGTTAAGTTCCCTATTCAAATACTCTTTCATTTCTAAGAATATTAGTTCTTTAAAGTGGGAGGTTTATGAGGAAACACTCCAGCTACCTCAGGCAGTACCTTGCATGAAGATGTACTAATTCAATAAATTAACTAAGAATAAATCAAGATTAGATTCAAGTTTAAGCTACATGCAGCAAATAACAGATGGAGGGAAAGGGATCTTCCAAAAGAGTAACAGTGAAAAATGTATTCTAATTTCAAAAAGAGAGAAAAGAAATTCGACATTTGACAGCTACCTATTCTAAGCCTAGTGTGCTAAGCCTACTGCGAGGGCAATGAGGTGTTTTTTACATGTGTGCTATTTAAAGAAAGGAGGAAGATGCTATCTTCCAGAGACTGGCTTTCAATAGACTGAATGGGTAAGGGGAAATTCACATCAAATAAACTTCTGGTGTCTTTTTTAACAGACTGTCTTTAGAAAATCATCAAAAGTCAACAGAAACCAGGGATGCATTACCTTTGGATGGACACCCGAAGGGGCTCACCTTACACACCCCGTTGGAAGCTAGCCCTGCATGGAAACTCACCTCAGCTGTGTAAATGTAGATGGTGTTGAAGTTTGCCGCCACCAGAGCCCTCAGCAGGAAGAGGAAGCCAATCAGGCCGGCACTAGAAAACAGGAAGCGGAGAGAAATTATAAAAGGCAGCATGGAGAACCACCTCCCGTGGCCCAGCTCCAAGGGCACTGTGGATGCAAAGACACACCCACAGATAACTCAGAACCCAAGTAGGGTACTGCTTCTCAGCTGGCCTGATTGTGGGGTCCTTAAGCAAACCTCCTTCCAATCTTACTCCCCATCACCCTCTCCATTTCCCCAGAGCTGCCAATCACCCTGGCCCCTCACACTGGCACACCTGCTGGGCGCAGTGGCTCATACCTGTAATCCCTGCACTTTGGGAAGCCAAGGCGGACAGATTGCTTGAGGCCAGGAGTTCAAGACCAGCCTAGGCAACATAGTAAAACTGTCTCTGTCTCTCTTTTTTTTTTTTTTTTTTTTTTTTGAGACAGAGTCTGGCTCTGTCATCCAGCCTGGGATGCAGTGGCACAATCATAGCTCACTGCAGCCTCAGCCTCCCAGGCTCAAGTGATCCTCCCACCTCAGCCTCCTGGGTAGCTGGGACTATAGGCACACACAACCACACTTGGTTCATTTTTGTATTTTTTGTAGAGATGAAGTTTTGCCATGTTGTCCAAGTGATCCACCTACCTCAGCCTCCCCAAGTGGTGGGATTATTCGTATGAGCCACCAAACCTTTTTTTAATTGGCCCGGTATGGTGGTGTGTGCCTGCAGCCCTCGCTATTCAAGAGGCTGAGGCAGAAAGACAGCTTGAGCCCAGGAGTTGGAGCCTGCAGTGAGTTGAGACCACACCACTGCACTCCAACCTCAGTGACAAAGTGAGAGACCCTGTCTTAAAGGGGGGGAAAAAGAGCATACCCACTGCTACCATCCCCTGGAAAATAGTACAGACAACCTGTAGAATAAATGATACATATCAGAGCTCAGGCCAGTCCAAGACTGCAAATTAAGAGTGAAATGAGCAGAAGGCGCATGTAAGCACGTTGTCTGTATTACAAAACTTTCCTGGCATTGGTTCAAATAATGTGATAAACAACCAGAGTCCCAATTCTCCAGGAAGCATTACATAACAATCCTCAATATTTCAGTGAGTAAAGTGAGCAAAACATCATTGGCACCCATACTCCTGCGACAGCTGGAGGAAAATGGGGTCCGTAAAAATAGGGAAGGGGAGTAGCAGGGACCAGGCAAGACCATTCTAGTAGAACAGGCAGCCCATTCTCTACTCTCCCGGGTGAAAGGGACTTGTCCCTGAAACTACCGAACACCATGGGTCAGGAGACTATTTAGAAACCACTGCACAAAACTTGAAGCAACCAAATAGCAAATACCTTGATGTGCAAATGTTGAGGAGAAGGAAAAATAAAGCCGTGCATCCCATGGTAATGGAAAGGCTCAGCCGTCTTCCCAGGAAATTGATGCCCAGGATATTTAAAGGATTCACTAGAAAGCAAACAGTAAAGACAATTTCTGGGACCTGGGAAGGCAAGTGGCATATTGCAACACTGGCACGGACTCATCCTTGACATTTCAGAAAGAAGCAACTTCATCCAAACCTCACGAGTATTCCAGCCAAAATCCAGTCACTTGATCATCAATTTCAAGACTCTTTTAATATACTTTACCCACGTGGGTCCAGGAATGATAAGTGCTGGTGCCCACGATACTTATTATATCGTGCAGGTCTATTGTAGATTGTCAGCTTGCTAGGCCAGCATTTTAAATGTTTTATATGTTTTCATCAAATTGAAGGTGCCATTGATTTTTTTTCATCAGCTCAATTTAACATTCAGCCATTGATTTTTAAGTACCATCATTTTATGTCTACTAAAATAGAAATAATGCTGTCAATTGCAATCCAATAAGCCATTGTAAGCCACATTCCCATTCCAGAGATGTTAAAATGTGAGGAGGGGAAAACACCTTAGGATTGATAGAATACAGCACTTCAAAGCTCCAGACTTCTCTTGCCAACACCAATCCAAACTGGAAATTTTTCAGCACCATTTGGTGACTTGCTCAGTTCTGTTAGGCAGGACCCATGTTACAGGGTCACACTTCTCTCCACTGAGACTCAACTGCACGAAGGCTACCCTACATGCAGAGGGACACTTACGAGCAATTTCACCAACAGTGCTGATGATCATGGTCCGATAGTCAGAGGGTGCAAACATATGGCAGTGGCAAGGGCTCTGGCTCTCCTCTGAGTCCCCCTGAGTCACAACCACCTCAGAGTCCGACTTTGAACCACAGACCAGGTCCCGCTCCAGCAGTTCAGCACTGGCCAAGATAACCCCATAGTAGGCAAAGGAGATTCCAAGCCTAGAAGTGAGAAAAGAACGTCACTAGCAAACGCTGACACCAGACCTGAAGGATAAGCGGGGAGGGAATACCAAGTGAAAGGCGCAGAATGTAGAAATGCAAAGGAAGGAAGCCAGGCTGCCACACAGACCATTCGTGGAAGTGCCTCTTACACATCATACAGATGTACACATGCCTGTTGGGTGTAAACCTAGGAGCGGAATTGCTGGGCCATAGGATACACATGCTTCCAGCTGTAATAGATACCTCCTGTGTTCCAAAGCGACTGTACTAATTTGAACTCCAGTCAGTTATGTATGAAAGTTCCAGTTACTTTGCATCCTTCTCAACCCTTGGTATTATCAGTCTTTCATTTTAGCCATTCTTGTGAACTGGTGGATTTGTAGTGGTAGCTGGTTGGGTTTTAATTTGTATTTCCCTGGGGACTTTAAGGTTAAGCATGTTTTGATGTGTTTCTCTGGTATACATTTTCAGTGAAGTGCCTGTTCAAGACTCTTGCCTGTTTCTAAACTGGGCTGTTGGCCGGACATGGTGGTTCATGCCTGTCATTCCAGCACTTTAGGAGGCCGAGTCAGGAAGACTGCTTGGGGCCAGGAGTTTGAGACCAGTCTGGGCAACAAAGCAAGACCCATCTCTACGAATGCAAAATAAAATAAAATAAATTTTAAAACTTTAATAATTTTTTTAAACTTAAAAAATTTTTCAAAAATAAACTGGTCGTCTATTTTTTCTTGTTGAAAAAATTATAATATATGTGTGTATATATATGTGTGTGTGTATATGCTTTGTTGGAAATATACATTGCAAATTTTTTCTCCCAATGGGTAAGCTTATTTTTCAGGCTCTTCAGGATTTGTTTTTTAATTTTTTTTTTTTAAGCAGAGTCTCATTCTGTTGCCCAGGCTTGAGGGCTGGAGTGCAGTGGCATGATCTTGGCTCACTGCAACTTCCACCTCCTGGGTTCAAGCAATTCTTCTGCCCCAGCCTCCCGAGTAGCTGGGATAACAGGCGTCCACCACCATGCCAGGCTAATTTTTTTCTATTTTTAGTAGAGACAGGGTTTGCCATGTTGGCCAGGCTGGTCTCAAACTCCTGACCTCAGGTGATCTTCCCAACTTGGCCTCCCAAAGTGCTGGGATTACAGGCATGAGCCATCGCACCCAGCCTTCTTGATGATATCTTATGACACAATTCCTAAGTTCCTAATTTAAAGTACCAAAACTCATCTATCTTTTCAGTTATAGTCAGCATGTTTTAGTCCTATTTAGATCATCTTTGCAGGCCAGGCGTAGTGGCTTATGCCTCTAATCCCAGCACTTGGGAGGCTGAGGTGGGCGGATCACCTGAGGTAAGGAGTTTGAGACCAGCCTGACCAACATGGAGAAACCCCATCTCTACTAAAAAATACAAAATTAGCCAGGTGTGGTGGCTCATGCCTGTAGTCCCAGCTACTCGGGAGGCTGAGGCAGTAGAATTGCTTGACCCCAGGAGGCAGAGGTTGCAGTGAGCCGAGATCACACCGTTGCACTCCAGGCTGGGCAATATGAGCAAAACTCGGTCTCAAAAAAAAAAAGAAAATTTGCTTACTAAAATCATGCTGTAGATAAATGAATCACAGAGGGTACCATGAGTCTATGCCATTGAACTTGATTGGTGACTTCAAAGGACCAGTTTCTGTCCTGTGGTGAGGAAAACAACTAGGCTGCAAAAGTTAGGAAATGAGCTCATATGCTCATAAGAGAAATTTTAAAACTAGTTGAAGACAATCAGAGATTTTTCCTCTATCTGCCTGTGTATCTATTTACTGATTTATTTAGCAGTGGCAGTGTTTGTAGAAAGACAAGACA